AACTTACTTTTCCTATTATACTACCAACCTCCTGTGAAAGCAAACAGAGATAACGTGAGTGTAAGTGGCGACAGCAATTCAAAGGTTGACATTTTATATACCGGTACATGGCTATAGTCAGCACCGTTAAATATTTCATTCTGATTTCCACACAAAGACTGATACAACTTTAAAGCATAAATCTTTTCAACGATCAATGTACTACATGTTATGGCAAAGATTCAATCAATTGCTATGATTATTTGTGAAACACAATGTCCATCAAACTGACTATAACTTGTGAATTATGGGTAAACCTGCATTATGGGTAATTTTCAATCCCACTCAATCAAATAAGCGGCTGGTGGCTAATATAGCTCAACTAAAAAACTCACATTTTCTGCCATTATTCACACAAAGTACATTTAAAATAAATATATGCCATTGTCAATTTAAATCAGCACATGCTACATTTGTCAATCTATCATTGATACTCAGAAGCAGAAAGTGCATGCTGTGAAACAAAACATACCAACACTGGCCTCAGAAGCTTTGACTAATTGCCCTTTCACCTTTGATTCTCACCTTTTGACCTTTTGAAGCAGGGCATTGACTGAAGGCATTTGTTTACTGTTGTATTTAATTTGTTGTAAATATTAAAAGAATTATAAAATCTTTTTTAAGATTGCGAGTGAACTAGTTTTTTTAATGAGGTTTTGATGAAAATTTGAGTTTTAATGTTCATCCTCTTGCATTTTACTTCTAAAAAAATTCTTATAACTTAACACGCATGTACTTACGATAAGGACACTAAATCCCTAATGTTTTATTAGTGTTTTGTTTTTGTTAATATTTAAAGTTGATGAACAAATTTACTGGTATGGAGACATCAACTGAAACAAATGCAGAATTCACTTTTCTAGAAGTAGCTGACCAAACAGACAAGACAACATACACTTTGTTATGTCAGGAGGAGAGCAATAAATCCTAGTCAGATACCAGAAGAAACTGACAATGTACTCACAACTATGTATATTGAAAGGAAAACTATCATCAGAAAAATGAATAAAAAATGCAGAATCTATCAGAGTTTTAAACTTCAGTGGATTGTAGTTCTTTTAAAAGTCAAGTTTAGAAAAAAGCACTTTAAAAATCAAACCAAGCACTTACAAAGGTCATTAGTTCCATAGACTTTTCATTAATTACATTGCATGTGACCTACTAGGTAATTTGCATCTGACCTTGTGTCAATGTCAATTTTCCATGGATTTTATTTTCACATATTTATTATGAATATTTCATAATTTTTTTTCATTCTATCTCCCATTAAAAATTCAATCAGTTATTATAAGTAATTTTCTACTATGTACACAAGCTCTTGTGATGAACAATAAAGAAACAAATAATATAAACGATTTTATAAATTTTGACTCAATAAAATAAAATGGGTTTTTTTATGCAAATAAATCAATTTAAACCATATACATGTGTATACAAAATCATACTTTAATATAAATTGAGCAGGCATTTTAAAGAAATTAATATAATTTGTAGTTTAATACTGATCAAATTATCTTCTATCCAGAAAAATGAGATGTATAAATTTAATAATCAATAGACTTTCACAAAATTCAATATGCAAAAGACTTTCGTAAACGAAAAAAAAAATTTCTTTTTATTTATAAATACAACTATCAAACTGAAGATCTTGGAACAACAGAAAACCTATCTAGCCTTTACTATATCCATTCTTATCTAACATTTCTGTATCAAATTGCTATTTTGTTCAACATCATTTGCATATCTTTGTAGTAATCTCCCAACAGACTGCATTCTTTTATTATTGTTGCCCCTTTTAACCTCTGGGATGCAGCTAACAAATGAGAGCCACCCATCTAAGTGATGGGGTCTCATACAACAGTATGATTCTATCGCTTCAAAAAGTGACGTTCTTATTCCCATTTGGAAATGCTGATAATGACATGCTTTTTGGGAAGTTTTATCAAGTAACAAGTAAATTGCATAAACCAGCAGACTGGTCTTATCTTATAGATAGGAATTGTAAACAAGCTAAAAATTAAATGTCCATATGTCAGTTTTATGCCTGTACAATATGGCTATACTCAGTTGCATACAAAAACTTGAAAAGAATAATCACTTAATCAGAATTTGTGATTTGTGTCAAAATTGTTCTTACAGCAATTTATACACCAATTACCACAGCATTCCATCTATTCTCATCATCATGCTCTCTCTGTCACCATGGCAACCCACTTTCCTCCACACTCACCTTTCCTTGCATAATGAGCCGTATTGTCAACGTAACTGCTGGACCATCATTTGCCATCTTCTTTATGTGTTCTTCTGTTGCCATAGAAACAAACTAATGAAGCATGCGAGTTGGGCAGTGTAGAGTGGCTGGTAACCTGAAAGAACAAGAAGATGAAGAAAGATCAGCCTCATTAGTGTCAACTAATGATGAATGCACATGAGGAGGATATTAGGTTGTAGAAGTGAAAAGCAATTACTGGTCAAATGGTCTGTAGATTCCAGCCACAACAATGTAAACACATCCGGAACCAATTAACAAGTTCATCATGAGTATTGCAACAGGATGTGTAATATTTAAAAAAAAATCATCTGTGACATGAAAACAGTTTGCAAATAACTTAAATTCACAAGTCATGTATGTATTTGACATTGAACCACTTTGATTCCTGGCCTCTTCTAAAATGTATATTTAAAAAAAAAATTTAATCAAAAAATGATCCACAACATGATAAATCCATGTAATCAACAAACAAACATGGAAAAAAAATACTTGGAGAACAGTGATTGGCTAGATTACAAATAGAAGTTTTAAAACACCACCAACTAACAACTGAACACAATGAGTCAGGAAGCACAAAACATCACACAGTAAACTAGAATCAGACGAATGGATGTCAAATTGTTTCCTGTTTCTAACATTATATATTTTGTATGTACTGTGACTTGAAATTGACATGTGTAGTCTGGATTGAATGGAAATGTGAGAAACCCATCATATCAGATGAGAGAAATAGAAAACAAAAAGTTGAGTACAGAGACAGTAAATGATATGTCAGCTTTACATGTCACCATTTCACTCTATACCCTTAAGCAAAAAGAGACACCCACGATATCCCATCAGGCTTTGCAACAGTAAAATATAACAGGAATTATAGGTTTTCACGCTCAACAGTTTTCTCTTTAGTGAGCAGCATCCATAGAACTGTTGCTAGGAAACAGAAGAAGTGATGAGGCTATATTTTGACATTTGGTTTCAAGTGATGAAGAAAAAGCAATACACACGAATCCCGGCACAACCATCACGGAGCTGTCAATTGTCGCAATGTTCGCAAAGAAATCAAAACCAAAATTGTAAAAACTGCAATCAAATGTTATGATGTTATATTAAACGATGGCTGGTCACTTGTAGTATCTCAACATAAGGAATGGGCTGTACTTGATATATTTCCAAAAGGTTGGCTGAATTCTGTTGCAATTGTAAATTAGATAAAATCCTGCCAATCAGCTCTCTGGGGCCTCAGTGATACCATACTAGCTCTATTACTAGTGATTGAAATGTGACATTAAAAGCTGTACTTTTTTGGTGATTTGAAATGCTGTACTAATCCACAAATAAAAAATCAAGGAATTAAAATTTAACAGTAAACAGAAATAAACATCTATGAATTTCAAAATGTATCCCTGTATATTTATTGGGAGCAAGATTTAGATTCTTGAAAAAAATTGACTTCACAAATGAACACATGTGAAGAATTTAAGTTTACACAATCAGGTCAATTAATATTCTGGATAAGACTAATTTCACTGCTTTTTGTAATTTAGAAATCACAATATAACCATCCTGTCATTTCTCCAGAGAAAAGGTACACATTTATGCTTGTTAATTTTAGGTATCCAAATTAATTGTAGGGCAAACATCTGTACTTTTTTAACAGGAGTAGCATGAGTTAGGATCTGGTTACTGGTGAACTTTGACACTTTGACACTGCTCACTGAAATTCCAAGTTCTAATTTCACATTGTTGGCGTTTTTTATACAGCCATAATAATTCCCGCAAATTAGCACTGACTACTTTGACTTGTAATACAGACACACACATCAATTAAGCAAAGAATGTAGACAATAATAGTGGGAGGAGGAGAAATACTACTACAGATTATAATACTAACGATGAGGCAATCATATGCTCTGTGAATTATCAAAACTCAAAAATGACTTGCTGTCAACTGCAATTTGATCATACCAGTAACTGATAAAAATCACAAAATGATACAAATATAAACCTTAGAAATTCTAGTCTATGGGTAGACTGGTTTTAATTTTAGATAAACTAACTAATTAAATTATTATTAAAATCATCCATGAGGAAATGTGAGTAGACTACTGGAAGCAAGACAATTTTTACACAAAAAATATCACGTTTTGAACATTTTTGCAAAAGCGAGAAACATACATGTAAAATACAATATTTGTGCATAACTACCATATTTGCTCTATTAGTACCAAATATGTTTTTGTAAAATACAAAGGTAAACTTACTTTAGTAAGTAATAATTTTGCTTAATACATGTATGTGCTTCTAAGAGCAAATACAGTACCAAGCCAGACACCATCACAATATTTTTAAATAACTACTATGTTACAATCAATGAAAGGCTGAGTGAAGAAGAGATTAAAAAGAGACTTTCTCTGTACAGTCACACAACTTTAATACAAGGACATGCGCAATCAAATTTTAACATTTGTAGACTTTTTTATTTTTTTGTTCACCACCACAGAATATGGCTGCACAGTTACGAGTGCCTGTCTACCCAGCTAACCTCAGAAGTCACAATTTGGATAATGCTCATGCATGATATTATTGGCATCAATCACCCAAAACAATTAAAAGGTCACCATATTTCACATAACTGAAAACAGGAAAAAATTGGCGCTAGATAACATTTGGCTGTCAGCCTTATCGGTTAACATATGGAGCTGGCTTGAGTCAAATGGAATTTGGATAGAACACAGTAAATAACCATGTAATCTGTCTTGCATATCTCATGGAACTTTAAGTACTATATACCCAAGACATTCCAATACTATGCTACTGACTGCATATAACTGGAATACACACAGTACTTACCCTAGTAAACGAAATTTACTCCACAAGTATATTTATAATACTGCGAAATAGGAAGCAACTGAGGATAGAGAGGAACTGCTCACTGAAGTACTGCTTCAGTAATCCAATCAGTGGGAACAGTAGGACATTATACTCTCTGTATATCAGATATATCAACTGTGGTGTCTAGCTGATTTATACACAGTGCTGGGTTGAAACAAGGACACTTTAGGAGCGATGAAACCTTGAACTCCTCTCGCACAGTTGATAATGTTAATGGTGTTCTAGCAGAGGAATGTCTTGTTGCTGGTTCACACCCATAAAATATGCCATCTGACTATATGTAAAGTATTTGATATGCTATCTTATTCTACAAGTTAACTAGTTTGTAACCAAAACAATCAATGTGTGGCCATAAAACATTGGACAAAACTCAAAGAGAAACCACTTTGTAGGCATGGCTGGAGGAGTCACTCATCACAAAAGAATTCCACTGAATATAATGATAACGGGATTTTCAACTCATTCAGTTGTAGAAAGGTGATGGCCCTAATAAAACTTTATTTGGCACACCAATCAATTCACTGTTTAAGCACTCACAATTTTAATTTAAAAAAATTGTTCACATGCTGTAGACTCTACTTGTAAGTACATGTCTATTTCAGTGCATAAAATGAACATACAATGACATCACTGGTGTTAAATTTATTTACTGAGAGTCCATAAATTATAAACATTACAAGTCTCACTTTTTGGTTACTTGGCAATATGTTCAGCTTTATACATTGAAATTATAATCCATGGCTATCAGTTCAACAGGCTTCAAATAGTACCAGGTGTTTTATTATTTAGAAAGTTTATAAAGCAGTAACTAAATTCTTTCACTCATGAAATTAAATTAAATTGTCCAATAACTGTAAACATGAGAAGGACAGTTAAAAACAGAATACAAATTTGTGTTATTGTCATCTGGTGTCAAAACCATAAAAAGACAACAAAGGTAAAGTTATAACTGCAAGGAGAAAGTTCATGATTATTTCTGGTGTTCCATACGCATAAATTAATAACATTTGTTCATTTCTAAGATACACAGCTAATGTTAAAGTGTGGAAGGGGGTTGTGGGGTTGTTTATTGAATTAATTTTCAGTTTATTTTCTAACTTAATGAAAAAAAGACAATGGGAAACAATAGATTAGTTAAACAATAAGTATCACATGATTCCATGGTGTAATTTTGGAGGGGAGGATTGAAGATCCCTGGATTGAAGCCCCCATTCTAACTACTGTAAAATACCTTATTTTAGCTTGAATCATTATTGCTGAAAAAAATATTTTGGCTGTTTTGTAAGATTTTATTTTCACTAATTCTGAATCGAATGTAAAATATGTTAGGTATTTCACTGATTAGTTCCTTTGTTGATAATTGAATTTAAAACCCACTGAATATGCCTGAAATGGTAAATCAGTGAAATTTAAACCCAGTGAAAATTAGTCATTTTACAGTACTTTTATATAATGAGCCTAGAACAAAGCTATCTTTTGTTATCTGTTTACACACAGGATTTCTGTATCAACTTATACATAGCTTTGGCACTTTAGCAGACAGCCAGTTAGAATCCTGAATTTGAATAACTCACAAAAGCCAAAAACTACAGCAACAAATCCTGTGACACACAAACAGAAGCACTACATATAATATATGAGAGTCATTTCTTGTCACATTTCTATGATTTAACATAGATATGAAAAATAAAAATAGATTCATATTAATAAAATCTCGTGCATTGTCACTGATATACACAATATTATTAAACATCAATTGACAATTTCTTTGAATTAATACATTTCTATGTTACAATACATACTATAATGGCCTCAAAAAAAGAACTAATATAAAAGAGATATAGATAAATAAAATAAATTCTTTGTTTCTTGTAAGACTACCTACACATATTTAGGAGGAAATGGAATAGTATATTTTTTTGTTTCTATGCAAATTATGTTTTTAAACGATACACATTTTATCAAAATCATAAATTCAAGAAATTTAATTAAGGTTTAGGAGATTGAAATTGTGTTATTATATCTTTGATCTTTGACCCCTCTCAACAACAGTTTTGTGTTTCATCATTAAGAGGATCACTGTTACAACCTTGTCTGTTGGCAAATCTACAGGAATAATTCAAACTAAGTCTGCTTGTAATGTGTTTATCTCTATGAGGAGATGATTTCAGTAAAGGGTTATGCTTGTACAACAATTTTTTTAAT